GCGCGCGCGCGGGTCCCGGGGCGCCGTCCCCCAGCGTCCTCCGCCCGACGCGCCCAGACTGCGAATGAAGGAGACGCGCTCGCGGCAAACTCCTTAAAAGAAAAAAAAAGCCACCTCTGCCGCCGCTCCTCCTCCCCCTTGTTTTCCCTCGTTCATCACATGAGCGCAGCCCGGGACACGCCCTGCAGCAGCATCTCCCCCCAGGCCGCCCCGGCCCGAGGCGCAGCCCAGATTCCGGCCAGCCGACCCCTCCCCCCCGGCCACCCCAGGGCGCCTCCCGTCTTTAGCCTCGGACGAGACCCGGAGGGGGACCCCGGCGTGGGGAGATGGAGAATGCGGGGAGAGCGGATTAGCTCGAGGTTGAATAGATGATGGATAACCCAGGCGGGCGCTCTGCCGCCGCTGACTTGCAGCTCGCCCAGAACGGAGCCCAAAGGCCATTTGCTTTCCCGCAGACTGTGTTTGACTGTCATCGTGGGTCCCAGCCCCCTCCCCGTTCGTAGGAGAAAGGCAGGCGCCCCTCGGCTCCCCTGGAGTCTGGCCATATTAGGGCAGCTCACGTGGCTGGAGCTGAGAGCCGAGAGGTGAACGCCGTCGGGCCTCATGAGGTGGGCCAGACAGAACGGGTGAGGTCAGCAGACGCCATCAGCCACCCCGTCGCCCTCCGTCCCCAGGGAGTTTGGGAAATGACACAGTTGCTGGAATGAGCCGGCCCGGCTCTGAGGCCTAGGCTAGAGGTGCAGGCCACGCCCCGCTGGAACTTGATGGATGGATTTGTCCGTTTGCCGCCTGTATTTCTCCACAAAGGCTTTAAATAATGTCAGTCGGGGTGGCTTTGCGTTCTTTCCCTTCGCGCTCTTGAATATGTTTGTTATGGGAATACGGCGTTCTTTCAGCCTAGCTCATTTTGGGGGTAGGTGAGCATAAAGAGTGGAACAGAAAGACAAAAATGATCCCAGTTTTAGCGGGCAACCCAGAGCCTTAGTTTTGGCCAACTGCTTGAATCACCAGCTATTGCCGCCATAGGAAAGACTAGAATACGTCCTACAAATGAAGAAATGTGGGGGGTGTTGAAGCTACATACCAGATAAGCCCCCTGCCCAGCCTGCACACGTTTAGCAGTGGATTGGTACAAGAAGTAGTTCAGCAGGCTATTTTGAACCCGATTAATGGCAGGTGATATAATGGCAGCTTGGAAACCACAGTTTATCAGCCAGCATAAAATATTTTCTGAATTCCTCATTTTTATTGAAGGATCCATAAAAATCCTTGAAAATTCCAGTTTCTTTGCATACCTTTTAGGAAAACAGTATATTTGCAAAATACTTGATTTTAGGGCTCTAGAAGCATTGCAACTCTCTCAACTGGCCACTTTGAAAAGATGAGGGTATTTACAGGGTAGCAGGAACTTTTCAAAGCACAAAAAAGTGCATTGCATAGATCATCTCATTTAATCTTCACACTCACCCTGTGAGGGAGATCCTGTTAGTCTTAGGCCCAGAAAAGTAGGCCCAGAGATACCCTAGCAGGTGCTCAATGCGCTGAGCTGGTAGGAGGGACAGTTAGGAGCCCTCTGCCCTCTGTAGAGGCTTAGAACCAGCTCCCCCTTCTAGGGGATATTAGCAAGAGGGCTATTAGACCTCACTTAGCATGTTGAGAACTGAAAACACTGTTAAAGCCTATTTGAGAAAGATTACTGTCAGTGCTTATGAGAATGTATCAGTAAGTAATACAAGTACTACCAAAAATTTCCATTCTTTGAGATTATATTTACCCAGTTCTTGGGAAATCCTTAACAACACTTTTCACATCTCTAACCTTTATATTTCAAGAAAGGATACAAGGCCCAAGGTTCCCAGCCAACAGTGCACAACCCACACACTCCGGAAGGCACCCTCTGGGGGCTGCTTACACTGGCACTTTCTCACTTTGTGTCTATTTTCCAGGTTATGATAATGCTCCTAGGCTTATTTTTAGGAGCAAAATCTTATTTTAAGAAAATGTGCCTTTTCTGGGCCCTCCCTGGTGGTGCAAAGGGTTAACACACAGCACTCTAAGGCTATGGCAGCCACTTCAGCATGAGCTTGATCCCCAGCCCCGGAGGTGACTCACAGGGCACACAGACCTCTCCTGGCCCCGCTGCTCCCCTCAGCAATGTACTAATGTACTTCGTCCATCTGCCTGTTCTGCTCCCCACTCTGTCTCTGGTGAATCCTCTCACCTCCCACACCTCTGGCCTGTACCCCAGTTCATTTTTTTTTTCAATTCAGTTTTTTTTAAAAAAAAGAAAGAAAAAGAAAAAGAAAGAAAGAAATGTGCCTTTGCAAGAATTCCCTCTCTAGTTCAAAACAACTCTGTGATAAGGAAGTATTAAAAATAACAAGCTCCTTTGTATATTCCCACCAGCACACACATAAACTACCTCTGCTTCCCCTTTTACTTATATAGGCTGGGGAATGACTTTTTTATTTTTGGTAAGCTGTTGTTGTTATTACCTTTAGCAACAAAAAGCCCCAAGCTTTTGTATTAAGCGTCTTAGTTCTTCCGAATACGACAAAATTCATTCACTTATTTCTCTCAACACCTTCTTGAGTCCATACTATGTTCCACGTCAAGAGCAACTGTGCCCCCAGTCCCAGGGCTTTTTCTTAGGATTCTGGAGACACCCTTGTAAGTGCTTGGATTAGTCAGTGATGGGAGGAAGGGGCTGTGCTCAGTTCAAGACTGTCAGTTACCCCAGCATGTCCCCAGCAGCTCTTTCACGGGCAAACAGCAGGATGCAGGTGTCCAGGCCACCCTCTCCCAGGGGAGACTTAGTGGTAGAGCTGATTCCCTGGGAGGGTTAATGGTCTCATCAAAACAGCTTGAAATGGCTCAAAAACAAACACACAGCGCCTGAACTCCAGGCTGAACTTGTCAACTTGGGCTGGCTTCTCCAGAAAGACAGGTGGCGCGAGACCTGCCCTGTAGAGTTGAGAACTGTAGCTGGACTGGCCTTCCGTGAAAACATTTTCCAGTGTTTTGAAGAGATTCATGAATGTGAAATGTTTTTACAACTGAATTCATGAAACTCCTGAAAGAGAAATGATTGTAATTTCGTAAAACATTTTTAAAACCAACTTTAACTCTACCTTACAGATTCACTCAGTCACTACGAAGCCTTCAGGTGATTTCACTTAGAAGTTGGCAACTCTTTGCCCTTGAAACTACTACTTATCAATTCTTTGTTTGCTCTAAATAAAAGCCCTACTTTCATCTGGAACTTCTTACAGGGAGATAATTATGTCATCTAAGAATCCAACCCCTATCTCCTCTTTTACATTTGCTAATTATAAATGAGAAAACTAGAAGAATTAACAATACTAGTGAAGGCACAAGCAGTTAAACATTCGTATAGAAAATAAAGGAAAAGTTCATACAAAGATAAAGTCCAAGGTCAATGACTGTAGCTATCCTTCATTTTGAAAGGCCAATGCTATTTTTCTAATTTTTAAGGAATGGATTGCTTTGGGGTTAATGCTACAGCCATCCATTTGAATATTAGTTTCATTTAGCAAGGTTTAAGACTGATTCCTGATCAAATTTAAGATTATTCTGAAGGCCCTCCCTGGTAGCCCAGTGGGCCAAAGCTAGCCACAGAAACTTCAGTGCTAGTTCGATCCCCTCCCTGCCTCCCGGGGGGTGAGCCCACATGGCTCAGCAGACCTCTCCTGTCTCGCCCGCTGCTCCTCTCAACAGTGTGTTTCAGTCAGTCGGCCTGTTCTGCTCCCCACCCTGTCTCTGGTGAATCCTCTCAC